CGCCGCCGCCGCCGCCGCCGCCGCCGCCGCCGCCACTCGGCCGCACGGGGGCGCCACACGGCGGGGCGGGGGGCGGCGGGGCGGCGGGACAGCCGGGCGCAGCACGAGCCGCGTATTAACATAATGGTTACGCTGATTACGCACATATAAGCTATATATCCACATCTTTATAAATTTACTACCAAATTTATGAGCGAGTGTAAAACATGAATAATTATTAGAGTGAAGCAATTTCACATCAGCAAAATAATCGTTCTTTATCAAATCTTGTTTACAATATATACCTACAGATGTTTACATAGTTAGTATTACATGACATGAAAAGTACCTTGCGGAGTTCGTAGTTACATTCGCGCCAGGTCTTTTTTGTAAAATATAATAGCCAATGGACTTATAATTTCAACTTGAAATAAATATATAGTTAAGCGATAGTTCATAAAGTGATTGAAACATTTTTATTGTTGCCAGAAGCAACTAGTACTTGCTGTGCATTAGCTGCTACATTCCCGCGCGGAACAGTGTGAGGTGAACGGAGAGTGAGGATAACAAAGTCCCTCTTAAATCTCGACCAAGATTAAACATAACTTAAGAATATGTCAAAGTTTTCTTACGAAATATTTTTCAAGCTTTAATCAGGTAACAGTTATTATTACAGTATGTACAAATGTACCTAACATTTACGTTAAGCACATTTATGTATAGTTTAAATGTGCACCTAATTGTCTTTCCCTGTGTTAAAATTATTATCAATTATTAATCAAATTGAATAATGAAATAAGAACGTAAAGTGCGCTCGAGACATAATTTATGAAGTGATATCTCATATCCGATGACCGCAGCACGCTTGGGCGCGGGCCAGCGAGCTGCTGTGCCATGCCGCCCATCCTATGTGCTGCTACAGCGTGCTATAGCGTGCTACGACGTGCTACAGCATGTTATACCGATTTAAAGCATAATTACTACGGTTTGCAGTATCCTTCTACAGAGTGCTACGCAGTGAAGAGATGCATAGTGCATCTATCTTGTGTACGTTCTTACATTAATTGTATTAACTATAACACAATGTCAGCGAAACCGCTGTTGTGCAATTTAAATGCGGAAAATGAAGTCAAATCAAACAATCAAGAATTCCTTGTTTCAGTTACATATAAATGTCAAATTCTTAGGCAGAAAATTTTGTTAGCTACGTAAGTGGCGCAAAGGTAGTGCACATTGCAGGATGCGGTGCCGTTCGTGTGGCACTGGAGCCAACACAAACACGTGCGCTCACGAACCTTGCGCACTTTGTCAGACATCCTACTGTGTACAATACTTAACGTCGTCTGGGACACTTTCAGAGGAGCCACTTGCTTTCTCTCCAATGTTTTATAAATGTACGGTAAATACGCTATAAATTATTGCGATACTCGACGTAGCAACAGTTGTATTGCGTCGAGACAAAATAACTTGTTTTACACTTAAATTCAACTGCAATCATTTCTTTAACATTACGAGAAATCTCTCTTTATATTAAGAATTTATGATACATTTTTAAATAAATCTCAGGATTTTATTTTCAAATATATAATAAGTACGTTGAAATACATTTTATTAACAAAATCGACATAGATGTATCCAATCTGCGCCATCGGCCGCGTCTTCATTTCCCGTGTAGGAGCCATATTCTCCCAATAATGCCTCCCCTTAAGGTTGGCGTCCTGTGAATGGAGAAAATATCAAATCGATATTTTAATCAATCTGTTATTATTTATCTTCATCAAATACGCTTTTATGTATGATTATATTATAATAAGAATAAATAAATATATTTACTAACAGAAACTTTACAGTTCAGTGACATATTATAATTTCAAATGAAATGTGCACAAAGGCTATTGGAGTTTATCAGTATCAGTTTGTCGTGTCTGGGTCTGGGCTATCGAGTACGCAATATACGGGCTTGGGTGCAAATGCAGGAAATGTCAAAGCGCTACGCTGACTGTATGAGGCTGACTGAATGAGGCAGCGAGACGAGAAGCGCGTTATTCAATTGTCCGCGCCACATTCAAATTGTTCACTTCACCGGCTTCGGTTACCTCCCGCCACCGCCCCCCGCACCGACCCCCCGCACAGCTACTGGCACAGCTACTGGCATAGCTATGAGCAGTGAGCGGTGACCACATAACTGGAACACTAAATTATTTATATCAATCACTCGGAGCTTTTACTACATTACAATATACATCACTTACAAAGTACGTCACTACAGTATGTACTTTCATACAGTTCACTTACAGAATACACTCAAAGTATCTGTAGCCTCCATTAAATAATTTTAACTGTTCGTCGTTACGTCCACTCACCAATCACTATTATCTCTTTTCGAGCCGTAATTTGCTAAATTTAATAAAGATCAAGGATTTTTTGTTTAATCTAATTAAAAAGTTATTTAAACACTCGCCGAAAGAAAGCATGAGATATATATGTGTGTATTGAAATGTTCCCGAGAACCTCTGGGAGAACTTTCTTTGGCTTTTCAAAGCTTAAAAGCTTTTCATTACTTGTTTATAGGGCTTTGATGTAAGTTCGTCACGTTACCCTGCTGCCTCCCGCCACGGCGCGCCAGCAGCCCCGCACCCCGCGCACGCACGACGCGCCTCGCACCCCCGCGACCCCGCGACCCCGCACATGACGTCATTTATTACCATTACAAGGACTTTGAGGTTTATTTAATGTACGAAAAGAAAATCTTTCATCGTGCTCTGTAAAAAATATATAAAATTCCTTTGATATTTTCGATAATTTGATGAACCAAAGCAAAGTCGAATACAAGGAAAATGTTTTATCTTTCAGAGATAATAACTTAAATTTGAAGTTTGAGTTTTATCTTAGTTGACTTTAACATTGATTATATTAGAAAAGTAAACATTTATACAAAGTTTATTTCAAGGAAAGAATTCCACACTCTACCTCGAATTAGAAACATTTTTTCATTGTAAAGAACAAGAGGGCAAACAAATAAACTATGAACTTCCTTTCCTGACTTATTATCAGACATTTTGTCATGAAGTTACTACTTTTTATCCTTATTAAGGAATGTCTTTTCCGTGTAGGTAGCTTGCACGTTTTATTGGCACATGCCCGGAGGCACGAGGCGTGGCGCGGCGTGGCTCGGGCGGCGGCGGCCTCCAGCGCTGCTAATTGCCGTCTATTTGGAGGCGACTCGTCTTTGACATCTATTTACTTCTGCTCCTGCAGCCAGAACTAAATTGTTTCACGTTCACTTGTTAGATACGGAACGAGGAAACCCTTCATTTAAATAAGAGTCAAAAGCGCAAAGGAGATGTTAATTGTTAATTTTTTATCAATTATTTTTAAAGTATTTACTGAGTATTTAAAAAGTATTTACTGAGAAGACGGATGCAAAATATTTTATTTATTTATTTATTTACATGGAAAACTTACAGCTATAATAATCTTATTAACTATAGACTAGACAACTGAGAGCCATTGACAAGTCTTCACTTATAACAATATTATATCTATAATGAGCAAACAAACAAACAAGTATCGCTAGTATTAAACTATAGTAATATATAACAATGTAGTTAAAAACTAAATTATAGTAGAACATTAATATTAGTAGTAGCAGTTCACTTATATATTTTATTTGAAAAAGTCTAGTGCTAGGCACCTTCGTGCCGAGGATACACTCATAATGAATGGATCGAAATCATATTTGTTGCAGATTTTGTTAAAATTTCCAATTGCACGCACATTAAAACTGTTTTGCCTATAATTAGAAGAAGCTTTAGGCAACAGCAAAGGTGGTATGGAATGAATTGATTTACATGGGACGTTTATATATAATTTGGACAATAATTCGGGACAATCTATTTCGTTATTAAAAATTTTAGTGATATCGCGCTCCCTTTTCATTAAAATATTTTAGAAAGTGGAAATATCACACTACTTATAAGCATTATACTTCGGGTTTACAATTAAACTCAGTATATTACACAATTTACTTTCAGTCTGCAAACTCATTTTAGTCTAAATATACCAAAATTTATTATCTAATTGTTACATGTTGAAGTAAGAACAACTTTGTTAACAGGACTCTGGCTCGCGCCCAAGCCGCTCGCTAGCCGCTCGCTAGCCGCCCACTAGCCGCCCGCTAGCCGGCGACGCGGCGCGGCGACTCCAAGCTGAATAAGAAATATATTATATGTGGCCTCCAAATTTAACTCTACACTACGAATAACTGTAGATTTAGACCCCAGAGGGCGTCTGCGATAGCTTTAATGTTGAGATCGGAAACTTAACCACGAGGAAGTTTGAATAGTCACGTGTGCAGCAATGCACATAATATAGAAGAAGGCGATACTGCAGCATCAGGCGATCAGGCAACGTACGATCCGCTTACAATACCATCTACACTCAGTACTACGTAGAATAATTGCTTCATATCTTATTGAAACGTACAATGAAGTTTACATCTCCTGAAATTGAAGTAACAATGGAAAAATTGTCCTCTTGACAATTAAAACAATTTTATTTAATTGAACAAAATTGTCACGTTTACTTTCATCAAAAGCGTAAATACAAGGATGTCTTTATATAATGTGGATGTAAATGTGCCGGGTTCAAGTCCAGCGCTGGGCCGTGGTCTGTGGGCTGTGGACAGTCTGCGGTCAGCCCATGTAATTTACGGCACAAACTTGTGTCGCACGAGCTAGCCGCGCCTGATTGCGATTTGATTAACGTCCTTATCTTTATAAAATTAATATTGTCAACGGAGATTAAGGATATATTGAAGATAAAATAATTAAAAAAGATGAAGTCGCGTATCGTCCATTGTATTGTTGCCATTGATTAGTTTTATGATCCGGTGAGATAATTTTCTCAGACTCCGGAGATTGCGATGTTTCACATTCAGTGTATCTCTACTGGCATGTCAGTATGTAAGAGTGTAGTAGCCTGTAACTGAATTGTCAACAAGTGAAGGTAACTCAACTCACCCAGCAGCACCAATCTTCAACAGTTCCTGAAAATAAAAGAAATAACATATGTAATATGTTGCACAAACAATTTAAGAAAAATTTAATTTGATTTTATAATAAATGAATGTTTTTAATAGTTTTACAACAGCATAAATGTCTAATATGAATCATTGTAAACTGAATGAGATTCGACAGCGATTCCAGTATTACAATAGTAGTCAATTAAACGCGGTCTATCTTAATTAAGTAAATGTAAGTGATAACAATAATTAAAAGTAGTCGAACAAAATGTCTAATGCATTGCATTCAACAACATTGACGGTTCTCGTCTCAAAGCCGCCTTAACATGATTAATGCAGACGCCTAACCATGCAGCGCTCTCAGCGCTTTGAGACGCGCCAGAACGCCAAAACTATGTGCCTATCTGAGATAGTGTAAAATGGGTCTTAGTATCGTTATTTGCTAGAAGAAACTGACTCAGTCTATTTTCTAACTAAATCCAAGCTGCAGGCGGCAGGGATGTGATTACATTACCGCTCTCTAGCGTGCGCCGGACACAAAGACCTGCCGTACAAAACAAGTACCACGTGTGTTTTGTTTGTATATAGGGCAGAGCCCCGCCACCCGCGCGCCGCGCCGTCGCGCACTAATCTGCTTAAAAGGCTGCAAGCGGTGTGTCGCGACTGGCGCACATCTTGCAAGGCTCGCCACTCGCCAGTTCTATCTACGAGTATATTCATCAATATGTCATGACAACTGATTATACAGTGATTATACAGACGCCTTTTACATGACGCACACAAATTAAATTGTTATAAACGACACCAAAATATTTCCAATCAAATTACAACAACAGTTGACTTTTTTTACAATTCTTTGTCCAATGCGTAAAAAGCATTAATTTGTTTACAAAGGCAATAACTATATTTGTCATAGTTTCGTTATATTAATAAACTAAAAATATTTGGTTTGTTTACGAATTGCTTCGTAATTACAATGTTGTTTGTATTTGGTCAAAACGCGCCAGCGCTCTGTTTGTATTTCATCCAAACTAATGTTAAAATAGAGTTGTGTGAGTTGAATGTAAAATAACATGAACTTTGATACGAGGAATGTATCGCTCCATGATTCCAGTAGCTTTAATGAATTGCACTGTTCGTTGTTTTACATCTTGAAGGGTTTTTTCTTTGAATTAGAGAAAATTAATGATATATTTTTGTTGATGTCTCAACTCAAACGATATTGCTAATAATAACATGATGTGATAAAAATTTAATAAGAACCTCGGCTTTTGCGACACGGACGAGTTCTTTATTGAATTTCTCTGATACGCGGCGGAAATGTCGCACAAATTACTGCGACTTCTTGAACGAGATCACACGCGGGGGGGGGGGGGGGGGNNAGGGTAGGGGGGAGGTGCGTGAATCATTTGACTTAATTCTGCGCACGTTGTTCGTAATTATCTCTTGAAGTTTGTTGAAACAATCTTTATTGAAGACGAATAATTAAAGTAAAACTAAACAGACATTGATTATCCAAGTAATCGGTGGATTTAATTAAATAATTCTATAAGGTATATATTTTTATCGTATTTAATTACATTTCCAGGGGATTCAATTATCTGAAGACATCAGAGGACACACGTAATTGCTTGTCTCGTCTCGTCTCGTCTTGGCAATATGTCAGAGTTTTCTAGATCATTCTCCGCCGCCGCCGCCGCCGCCGCCGCCGCCCCGTCCACACATGACACGTCATTTATAGCGGCCTCCGCGTCGAGCTCCGCACTGCTGACAAATCGACGAGACTAATCCGTTATCCTGCTACTACTAGACACCATCATTTACCGCACAGACATGCCTTTCAACTATCCATTTACAGCTAAGAAAGTATTAGTGGGATTGTTAAGAACATATCGCTTTTCTATATATTAATATCACCTGAATCTTGAAACAAACTCAACAGTAGAACGAAGGTAAAGTTGAAAACTTTTATAGTATCGTTACAGCGTCAGAGAGCGCGGCACAGCTGCTACAGATGACAGCCCTAAAGGCGAGCTCGTTTGCTCCCCCCCCCCCTTACGAAGGTAAGTATGAATGTTTGTCAATCTGTCTGTCCAGTGTCTAACTCCTATATAAGGAGTGTTTGTATAAAATTCTGTATATGGTAAAATCAAATCGAGGTGAAACTGTGCACAGGCTGCAGAGTAGGCCGCTGTAGTTGAGCACGTAAGCGGTGCACAAATAGCCTTTTGAATCGCACATAAAAAGAAGATCGCGCGCTGGATAAGGCAGAGAGCGCCCCGCGGAGAAACGTCAGCGCCTAGCGCCCTGCGCCCTGCGCCCTGCGCCCTCGGGTACTGCCCGCGTTTTCGCTAGATGGAAAACAAAAAACTTTTCATAGCTTTCTGTTAATAATGTCTCCCACTCGTAAGTAATGTGTTTGAGACAAATTAAAAGCGTCCATTTGTCTTGTATCGACTTTCTCTGCGGTAATTAGATTAACTTGGAACTTCCCTCGTCTCTAAGTCCTCTGTTGTCTGTTGTCTGTTGTCTGAGAAGCTATTAGCAACGAGTACCTCATCTATTATTCTTGTCAACTTTTTATATAGAATTAGGATTACTGAATACTTTAAAGATTTGTAGCAAATAACGTAAAGTATCGCATGTTTTATTTTAAGTAAAACTCACTAAATGTCATGAAGTCGTATATTATTTAAGTATTTTATTTTACAACTATAATTATTTTGCTTTCCACTTAAAATTTAAACAAAATCTAAGGAACAGTTTTTTAAGGAAACTAATTTGAAAATGTGTTCCTCGGGAAGAACTCTGCCTTGCATTTTACATTTATTTACTAAGAAATAGGACAACGTTTTTGCATCGGAGTGAAAAAGTCAGCTCGACTGCTCGAAGCCTGAATAAGAGTGCCGGCGCGCCGGTACAGTCAGCAACACAACTCTAACAAAATATTGTCAACACATTCATTCGTTATTATACTTACTTTAATAATTATAACTATTATAAAATTAATTTTATCCTACTTCAGTGCCTTATTCATTTATACTTATGTATATATATATATATATATATATATATATATATATATATAAATAAGTATGTACCTAGATACATGACTATTTATAATTGCAAATAGCCTCCACATCTCTATTTGAATAATTTATGATCATTAAGGACGGATAACCCATTGGATGGAAAGTCTCGTTTTCAGGTAATTTGGCACCCGTTTAAATGTGGCGCGTCATCGCCGCCGCTAGATGGCGCTGACGCTAATTGGTAAAGGTAAATGGCGCGAAAGTGAGCCATTCGTTAAATTATTGTCGCAGGACGCGACTCTCACAGCTCTCGGCAGTGAGAAAATCATGCAACGGTCTGTGAAACGATAACTTAAAACTATCAATTAATGTTGATAACTAGAAAACAAGATTTTTATTACACATTTGTTGTTGATTAAACTGACACAAAAGATAATACTTATATTGATTTCCAACAGAAATTAAACAACGAAATACATACTTGTATAGTGATCTTAATGTAGTTTTTAGTATTATAAATAAAAAATGAAGTGACCTTTGAAATAATATTAAAACTTGAATATTGTAATCAAATTGCCTCTCACGAAATATATTTACCGTCCACTTCGTTATAAACCTTTTCCCTGCGTTTGTGGTTTGCAATTAAAAGGGACGAATAAAATTTTCGTCACCACATTTCCATTGTCTACGGGCCTTTTTTTGTTTATCTCATTCTGCAAGCAGTTTTTCTTTGTTTTTTGTCTCATTTATTTACTTTGCTATCGTCAAGTCTAATGAGTGTCCGTTCTCCTGCGACAAGTCCAACAAAACCATGTTGTTTATGTTTCAATTGAAATCGACCACAATAAAATGAGAGCGCGGCAAGTCCTGCAGATTTGCTGATGTGATGTGATGGTTAAATAGCCATGTTCAATAGCAGTAGAACAGGTTTCTAATGTTACCGCGCGTTCTCTTTATCCAACATACACGCACAGAAACATGTTTTCAAACCATTCGCTCTCTATGAAAAGACAAACTGACTAACAGACATAAGTAAATTTAAAATACAATTATTTATATTAAAAGCGATTATATCAGTATCGTTTGTGAATATTTACGAAATAAGAAAACTATTTAAAATTCTAGAATCAAAAAGTTGTTTGAAAAGCAAATGTTGCAGATTGCGCGGCGAAAGTTTCCTGGCCCACTTGACAGTATCTTTGGCAAGAATGACGTTACAGTTGACTGTAACGTGTGTTTTGCCAAAAGAATATTAAGATTAAAGCACTTGTCTAATTTAAATTCTATTTGAATGATAAAATTAAGCTAATGGAAACATAGCGAACGTTCGAGAGAGAGTTCGTGCACTGATAGTGACAATATTATGATAGCAATTAGAAAAAACTTCATTAGTAGCCTGGAAATATAATTTTCGTTCAAGAAATCTTACTCAAGCTCGTACAGCAAAATGTCATTAACATTAGATCGAGAACTAAGAATTACGCGCAATTAATCAAATTCTTTTATTTTAATCACGTGTTGCTTTCTCCTGTAGCCGCAGCGAGAGGCGAGTACACCCTCTCTCTCGCCCTTCTCCGTTTGCTCCGAATGTAAAAGCGTGGAAACAGAGAAATGAGCTTAAATCACGCCAAACCCATTTCCCGACTGGGGCTGTGAGCTCATTATTGTTAATGATTGTAAATGAACGACCTAAAGCGGAGTACACGAGGTACAGTCACCAGAACCAGCCGGCCTAAGTACCGACTGAAAAAATGACAAGAATACAGTTGTGTTGTTTTTTTTTTAAGTATTGTGTAATTGATTTTATAAAATTTTACGTTTGATCGTGGAATTAATATGTTCATAATTAACCAAAATAAAATAATATGGTAAATGTGAATTAAATATATTTAAGGGTGACTGACAAGCGAATATCAACATCATCTTTGTATACTAATTTCGTAACGAAAGGTTTGTATTCGAAAATTGATTTTATTATTATTCCCGAATTTAGTATAATGAGCTTAATTATTCACAAAATCTACAAACAACCTTTCGAATGAACCCTTCGTTAGCGCCGTTCATTGAACGAACTCACCTACACGGGTAATTAGATCTCTTGTATTGGATTACGATTCTCGCCGCTAGATGGCGCTGACGTTAATTGATTGCTGCGTTGATTACACGTCAGAACATTCCGCACCCACGCACAGCACAGCACGGCACGTATTCATGAGATTCTATCAATATTGTATAATAATATTCACTCCATGATTACCAATTTGTAAAGAAATAATCTAATGCAAGATTAAATTCTATAGTTGATAATTTACTTACATTATAATACCGCAGCCGCTATGATTACGTGACTGAAGAAAATCAAAGAGAAGAAATTAATTGTCGGTTGTGCAAAATCAAAATAAACTTGTATATGTTTATCCAATAAAGTCGCATCACTGAGAAAGCGGCAAAGAGCTTGATTAGAGTTTTTAATTAACAGCTGCGCAATGACGCTGACGGCGGCAGCGGCCGGAGAATCGCGGGAATGAATTTGTCGAAGTCGAAGTGGCGAACGTTCTGGTGGCCGCAGCAGGCAAAGGCAAGATTAAAAAATAACAAAAATAAAATCATATGTGAAAAACTGTAAAAAAAGAAACAGCCGTAATAAGCAAGCTTGACGCATACAATTTTAAATCGGGCTGTAGAGTTTGACGTGATGTCGGACTAGTCCCTTGTTATGGTCGTATAGAATTGGTAGTATGTTTTCTTGATCATGTTACGTAGAAAGAGAGGCTGAACAGAGGCGAGTGGACTGGAGTGAGGGAAAAGCATCACAAATTCAATTAACCTAATATTTCTATACAGGGACAGAACACATACAAACTCATATTTCTAATGAGACAGTCTCGCGACTACCAGCCTTATCGTTCAATTATTTATTTTTATGTAAGCAAGGGCTATACAAAACCTAACACGCAATATTACCGCCCTTACTGCACTGTGAGCTTCTGGTGCCGCTACTTTACTAACTCAATGTTTTGTATATAATGAAACAAAAACAACAACAAAAATTCGTAAATAGAAACCTTTGTAAGACGTAAATGCGGTTACATGAAATGGATAAGCTCCAGCATTCCCTTCTTCTTGACATTATTATAATATACAGAAATGCTTTGTAGAATAAGAATTAATTTACTTTTGTAATTTTTATGTAAGTTTGTATGTGCAGAGTGGCGAACAATACTTGTATATTTCCGGTCATCTGCACAATAACGCACTTTATTGTGACCCTCGTTATCGTAATGTAAGCGTTTGTACGCAACAAGAGGGTGAATATTGAAACCAGATAAATTGTTTGTCTTTCTTTTCACTCTTCGTGAATATTTTATTATCTTTAAAGTTATAATTTTTTATTCACAATATTGTCTTACACTGAGGACTATAACATATATCATCTTGTGATGTTTTATAGGAATAATGAAGCAAACAAAACATTTCCAGATGACGCCACAAACAACAATAACAAGGCGACAATCAGGTAACAGGAAGCAGTTACAAAGATCTCGCCCGGCACAACACAAAACAGCTACAAAGAAATGCTTAAACTAAATACAGTTGACACAAAACTGGAAATGAAAATATTGTTATATAAAATACTCTTTAAACCGAAGTCGTTCTGTTAAATTTGCTCACACAAAAACTACAGCTGAGTTATGAGGCAAGTTGATAGGGGTAAAAGGGATTACGATTACGAGCAGTGCAGTCAGTGTTCGTTTACGAGGAATACCATAATGTCACCGTATCGGAGTACACATTTGAAAGTCTAATCGCACAGGGATTATCTCTCCAATATGTTTGCAAATGCCCTGCGAACGACGCAAGCCACGCACACACTGCGGAGCGGCCGACAGGGAGTGATTCACAATTGAGTTTCGGCTCATTCGGTCGCTTGCCGCTTACGAGAATTATAGAGAAACACGCGTCGAGGCCGTTTTTGTTGAAAACGTTAAGGAGTTTACAGGCGCTTGTAATCTGCTCGAACGTCTGCTGCGGCGACTGGTTCATGTCACCATCATCAGCGTCGCTCCGACATGTCAGATCATTGTTGTAATCATGGTATACAATAAATCGTACTAATTGTTCATTTTACGAGTGTTTACTTTCATGGATGGCAGTTCAAATATTACGAATGGGTTTCAAGTGTGAGATGGACAGGTGTATGCTGACTCCGCAGTCAGCAATGCACAGCTGAGACACGAGTAGGTAATACAAAAACTGATAAACGGCGAATATATTAACCGAAACAATTCTCATTCGAAAGTCCCGCGTTTGATCCTCGGAAATGAGATCGTAAATCCCACGTGAAATACAACCTATTTGCGGTGCGCNNNGGGGGCTGGGGGTGTGGGTGTGGTGGGGGTGGTGGTGGTGGGGGGGGTTCACTTGATTAAACTCTCTTTATTACAAACGGGAAATTATTGCAGAGTATTATAATATTCGTTTGTAAAATTGTCACTTTGCATAAAGCGTATATGCATATATGTTTGTGTCGCCGCTATTAGTAAATATATTCATCTTTATATTATCTTATCTCACAATTAATGTTAATATAATATTTTATTTATACGCACAATTTTGAACGAATAAGTTATAGCAACAATAAACTTGACTTGACTTGGTAAAGAAGTTGTCATTTTCAATGAGGTAGATAAAGCGAACTTCCCACACACAATTTTTGAATTGTGAAATTTATTTGTATGTTTTTAGTTTAATAAATATAAATGTATTCACATTGACACGTTTTAGAACGATGACATTGTGAAATCAAAGTGTTAATTTAACATTAGACTTGTAATTCCATGGTAATGTGCAAATCTGCCATTTTCCTTGTATTTGACCATCAGCCCGTCTCCTCTAATCTGGAGGAAGTGCCCTAAACAAACAAGGTTTCGGGAAAACCTTGCGATTTACAAATCTTTGTAAGAATCGCGTATAATTTTACCGCTAATTAAAAAAATAGACTTAAGGTCACTACTGTTCCAAGTTTCAAGATGAATAATTGTGAGGATAAGAGAGGGGAGGGGAAATAAACCACTTGTATTTAGTTAATGTTTTAAGATATTACTGGGCCGACTTCAAAAAGGATTTCATATTAAAACTATTCGTCTATCCCGACTATCTGGAAAAACATGAAAATGATTGTCTTTAAATTCCTGTTACAAAATTGGTGGCACAAAAAGCTTACGCGCCGGTGTCGGCACAAAAATAAAATATCTTCATAAATTATACTTTTACATCTACTTTCCTCCATCATAACGAGGCGAGGAAGGCGACGTCCGCGGCGAGCGTCCGAGAGACGCACGCCATTTTGCCCGCGTAATTAAATGTCAAGCAGACGCCATTTTAGGTGACATGTAAACATTGCCGAACGAGTGTGGACCGGACACGCGCTTTGCGGGACATTTTATCATATCTTTTGGGTCTAATAAAATTATTTTAAAAATAATAATTGTCTGTCATAAAACTTAAAAATGTTAAAGGTTAAGATTTTTGGTCAAGTCGTATTATCGTGAATACTTGATGTATTCCAATATTAAACAGCAAAGTGATGAGCAACTTGGTACAGATTTAATGACATTTTGTCTTTGTGTTTAACTACATACGTCAATACGCCACTTATTATTAACACGTCGCTATCTTGGACCAACAAATTTTGTGGCACGTCCTAGCGCGCCATAAAGGCGTATCAAGGAGAAATACGCAATATTTTAAGCATTCCGCTTGCAACTCGTACCAGATCGCTTCTATGTTTTAATTAACGTTTAATGAGGTGACACGACCACAAAGGTTTAGTTAGCGCCGCAATAACACAACGATTCCTCCACGAACTATACATATTATTAAAACTGCTCGTTAGGCATTTTCGTAAGCTCCATTGCAGCGGCTCCTTGGCAGTCGGTACTCCGCACTCGGCAGGCGCCTCACGTCCGCGCTATGAACAATGACACCTCCTAATCGGCCGCCGCTACGTAACCTCGCGCGCTCGTCTTAGGAGGCCAATGTCGCGGTCCACTCGGACAGAATATCGATTTTGAAGGAGAGGATGACACATCCGGCTAAACGGAAATTTAGACAAGAAACTCGCTCGCCAACGGAATATGTATATAAGCGCAGCCGTCTTTGGCAAGGTATCACTCGTTACCGAGCCGTCCAAGCATAGATAACTATGAAGACTTTCGCTTGCGTCCTCCTGCTGGCAGCGATGGGAGCCGCCGAGCCTCCGCTGTCTCGACAGTCGCGGATCCAGTCCGCCAGGCAGCGGACCGAAGAGGCGCCCTATCCCGCAGCCGGGTTCCGCCCAGCGACGGCGTTCGAGCTACCGAGTCGCGAAGCGGTCGCTCCGCCCTCGACGTCGTACGGCGTGCCTGCCACCAGCTACGGCGCCCCGCTCGCCACGTACGCCGCACCGAACACCGAGTACGGCCCGCCCGTCACCGAAGCTGGCGACGATACGACAGAGGAGGTCGAAACTATCGAAGGAAACGAAAACAAGAACGAGAAGGAGAGGCTCGAAGAGGGGCCGAAAGGCGAGGCTGAGGTGGTGAGAGCCGAGGGTGCGTACTACGTGCTGCTGCAGGACGGGCGGCTGCAGCGCGTGCAGTACCGCACAGAGAACGACGTACGCAACATGGCATACACGGCGCAGCTGCAGTACCGCGCCGAGGAGCGTGCGCCGCTGTACGTGTACACCGCCGCGCCTCAGTACCAGCCCGCCGCCGCTTACGTGCAGCTGCTCTGAACCCTTCTCTGAGGCTGCGTGTGCGTATGCATGAAATAAAGAAACGATCACTTTTTAAACTAAACTTCGTCAAACGTTGCTAAGGTGTTTTAAACTTATTTCAAACACAAAGCACATTTTAGAAACAAAATAGAGTTATATTGATAACGACAATGACACGAAATGCGACTATATTATTTATTGAATAAATTATTATTTAATTGTCTTCTAATAATCTTTTGAAAATTACAGAAGTTTTAGTTAACATTTTATTATTTTGTTATTTCATTTCCTTCTTCTTTCTTAAAGTGAGATTATTAAAAAAACCGATCCAAATCTCCCCTATGACTGTTTCCACTGCATTGAATCTTTTTTATAGTTAATAGTATAGTCTAAAATGTATAATATTAGTAAGGATATGCAAATGATATATATATATATATATATATATATATATATATATATATATATATATAATATTAC